CGTTCATTTTATTATGTACTGCCTCCTAGTATTAATTATAAAAATTTGTTTATCATCTATAGATAAATTCTTATAAACAAAATCTTATAATTATAATTAGAACCGGAAATATTACTTAAACATTTTTTATTAGCTATTCGTGTTAGATGCGTCGGAAATATTGAATAGTGAATACCTTGTGATCCTTTTTTTTTTATTTATTTGCAATCACGTTAAAACTTGAAATAAACTGAAGAATTTTTAAAGATCAATTAAGCATTTTTTTTTAGTTTATTTTTATCGCATACGAATGCTATTCATAAGTCCGTAACTTAAATACTACGGCAACAACTACTCAACCGGTAAGTGTGGAAACAGACTTACAGAGCAGAGCGGCTTCTCATCGACGAAAGAAGCTTCGAGTTGGAGAATATTTAGCTAGTTAGGTCCCTTGCACGCAGCGGACATCTTTGAAACATGAATAAATAATCATTTTATATTATTGGAACATAAACTGCATCATTTATTAAATATTTAGTACTAGTATTTGATGTTAAACTTATAACAATTTTTATTTAAAAACTATAAATTGTAGAGTACTACTTGTCGGCAGGAAAAAAAAACTTCATGCACCGTCTACGTTCCTGTTTAATTGCCATTTTTTAAACTAAACACTACTTTAATATTTTGAAGATAATACAAGTAATGATTTCTCCAATTATACCTTAGTATTAATTAATTTTAGAAGTTTCAAGCAATATTACTTGTCAAAATAGATGAAGGACACATTAAAACACTTGGAAAAATAATTTGACACGGTCACAATATTTATTAATTTATGTGCTTAAAAAAGCAAGGAGGGAGGGGAAAGCATAGGAATCAGTTCGCTTGTTCATTGTAGTAGTTAGTACTCCTCCGGTCCTAATTATAAGACCCAATTGACTTATTTGAGGAGATTAAGGAAGTAAGTTAAGTTGGTTATTTATAATAAATAAGTGTTGTTATTTCTAAAATATCCTTGCTAATTAAGTATATTGGTTAAAACTATCATTATTAGAAGGATTATCTTGGAAAAAAATGCATAAATATAAGAGAGAAAATGGATTGGGTCTTATAATTAGGACCAAATAAAAAGTCAAATTGGGTCTTATAATAAGGACCGGAGGAGTATCATGATATTTCTCCCGGTAGTGAAATTTACCCTATTGAGATATAGTTTTAATGGTTTAATTTTAAAATTTTTAACTCATAATTTTAAATAAAAAATCTTTTTTTGTTGAAAAACTATGATTGAAAGATTATATTTATATAAAATTTAAATTTTGACCATCGATGTCAAATTTGAAAGATAGAGATTTGAAAAGTATTATATCACTGTGATGAGCACCAAAACTGATTCTGAAAAAACTGATGATAGCGCCCCAAAAATTGTCGGGGAAGAGGACAAGAAAAATTGCAGATATGCTAAAGCGAAAGCAGAATGATAATGACCGATGAGGGAGGAGAAAGCAACGAACGCGCGCGGTCTGGGCTAAAAGAGGAGATCAATATGTTACGCAGGGAAGGATTTTGCGTGAGATTAGAAAGATAAACATGAAACAGAGGAAAGAGAGGTTTGTCGTTTACACGAAATGGGTCATGGAAGATGAACCTTGTCGTTTGTGCGTTGTGACGCCAATGCATTTGAGGGTCCACCATCATCAACCCCAACCAATCAAAACACTTCACCTGTAAACGTAATCATTATTCAGTCCCCATTCGGAGTCGGCAACCCCTCTCTCCCGACCTCACTCCATCCCCATCCTCACCCACAACGTTGTGTATGTGTAATATACATACATGAACGTTTATGAATATATATGTGTGTGTGTACGTACGTATGTGTGTAGATGCACGGCTTGTGAGATGTGTGCGTGTGTGAATTCCCCTGCGAATCCCATTATCTGATCTGCAGTGCTAAGATGGTGTTTGAAAGATTAAAAGTGACTGAGGAATTTTATCTCGGTGAAGACACTTTTTAAAAGTGTTTTTGTGATCACCTAACACCCCCTAAACTAATAAACAGAAATGCGACCAAATTATTAGCAGTTCTTGAGTCCTTCAACGGTGCTCTTTTGGTTGAGCCCTCCCAGCAACGACTCATACCTGGAAACCCACTTCTTTGATCAAAACTTTGCTTCAATGCTTCGTGCATCGTCAACCTGCTATGCCATTTTTATTCTTCGGTTGAGATCCGTATAAGCATGCAGAATGTAGACCCTGCATTTTTCCATGCAAGACTCCCAGGTTTTTTTTTCTTTTTTTTTTTGGCTAAAACATAGCTATCTTCTTATTGGAGGCATTGTCGGGTACTAAACGTAGACACTTTTTCCAGTAAAAATTCAAATCACGTTGTGAGGCACTAACTCTTTTTACTAGATCCTAACACTGTTAGTAGTCCTGGGGTTTAATTTTCACAGAACGAACGAATTCGTCTTGAGCATCATCCTGACCAGAATCAAAAGGCCCCAGGCTAGCGATGAGAATGGGATGCGGCGTAGTGAATGGGCTGACCGTGAACCTGAGACTAATGGACTATAAGACGCCGAGTGGACTGACATGGAACAAACCTATTGGGTATTTAGATGGAGGAAGATGGGGGCCTGTGGACAGTGGAGATTATTATGGTTTATGAAGATTCCTCTCCTGTTGCCGACAGAGGTTGGGTCTAGCATAAAAAACTAATACCCCACAACATGAACCAATATTCGAATCTCTGGTAGAAGAGGTGTCCACATTTAGTACCCGACAGTACATCGAATAGGATTGTTTCTAATAGGAAGATACCTATACTTTAGCAAAAAAAAGATTCCTCTCTCTGTTGTGAATAAGAATAAAAATTAGATTCAATAAAAGGACTAATCCTACGAGAGATATGTCTATTTTTAATACTCAATTATTCTTCAAATAATATTACCTCTAATAAAAAATTATTGTAAAAAAAAAATCTTTTTACTGTAATTTTCTTTCTCGTCTTTTTTTGATCTCTTAGTATTATAGTTTTGAGACTCGTTACGATAGCCTCTGAGATTTATCTTGCAGCTGCATCTGTTAAGCTTTTATTGTCAAGTGTGATCATAACAGGGGGGATGTATGGTTCGGATGAAGTGTAGGCGAAAGCTCGGAGATACGATGAACGTAGAAATATATAAATACATACGCATACAAAGTTAAACAAAATTGATTATGGGAAAAAAATAACACTACTTCCTGTTTTAATTGTAAGATTTTATTTATATACTACAAATGAAGTCTCAGAGATCGTACTGCATAGAAATTCTCAAATAAAAGGACCTGCATGGATAGAGCACATCCAGTCATCCAGTCTAACTAAGATGATTAAGCAGCATTTTATTTTATGAAACGCACAAAAGTTTTGTTAGGGGAAAAATACATTGATTTTTTTTTTTAAATTTTTATCGGACGAAAGTTTAAATTAGCAAAGGAGTCCGTCCAACTCAGTTCTTGAACAGGCCATGACATTTTTTTTTTAAAAACAATTCATCTATGAGCAAAGTCACACGTGCGTTTTTTTATATGTGCATCATTTAAAATTTTTATTTGGAGAAGTAGTGAATAAATGGTTTTTAATGCTAACATAACAAATATATAAATTTTCTATTAGATATGTATTCATCACTTCATTATTAATCGTTTGTTCATTATGTTTTAATTAAATTAAGCATAGCAGTTGAGTTAAATTTTTTATACCCCTTATATCAAGTTCTTCAATCATATATGATCATGTGTCATATTTTTAAAATATTATTTCTCTGGTTCTAAATGTAAAATCTATCCTGTGTAATTATTTACAACTCAAAAAGTATCACTAAACTATAAATTCACTTGAAAAAAATTAACACAGGATCAGGTGTACTTGAAATATTTGATATAATAGATACAAAAAAACTTAATATAAGTGATTTTTTTAATTAGAAATCGTTTTGATAATTGCACCCAAATCTTTTGATTAAAAGAATCAAAACCTCTTTTTTTTTTCTTTCATAAATAGGCAGGTGACGCCGATGAAAAACAACCAACATTACAGAATCTCAATTAACAATGAGCAACCAGAAATAAATAAAAAATATAGGAAAAGGGCCAGTAACTTTAACGCCTGTTCAAGAAAATAAGGGTAAGAAGAAAATAATGTCCTTCATGATATTTCCTGGTCCAATTGTTGTGCTTGTAAGATAAGTAAACTGCTTACAATGACTATAAAAGTTCATTTTTAAATGAATTATTTATTTTTATATTCTGAATTAAATAAACCAGATTATATGCTTATTTATAAAAACTCTCATGTTATAGACTATCTCCAATCCTTAATATAATAGTTAGTTGATTAATTTGAGTAAATTAAGAAAGTTTGTTAAGTTAGTTATTTGTAACAAACATGTCTTATTTTTTCTAAAATACCCTTACTGGACATATGTATTAGTTAGGGAACCTTTAACATGTGTGACTATTATAAGAATTACTTTAAAAAACATAGATAAATATAAGAGATAAAATGAATTAAAATATTATATTTATAATCAAATTAAAAATTAAATAAACTTTTATATTAAAAATTGAAAGTAGTATTTTTATATACATAGAGTATTAGGTTAATAGCCTTGAGAAAGGTGAATATGTGGATTTCCGCTGTCACCAGACAATATTGCTTCCTGTGCAGCATCAATTAAATGGATCCCTAAGTCAGGTACTGTTTTGGGAATTTGGCATGAAGAAGAGAAGTCTCGAGAATCAAAAAGCAAATACAGTACTAATAGAATTGGGTTTTGCGTATCAGTCCCCAAAAAAAAAAAGGGGTATAGCGTAAGAGGTTAATGGCTGTGCCCAAAAAAAAAAAGAAATCAAACACGAAGTTTGAAGTCTAGGAGAAAGTTCAGGCAAAAAATTAAAAAGGGGGGGGGGGATCCAGTGGAAAAGTAAACGCTGGATGCTCACAAGCAAATAGAGTTATAGAGACGCTGAAAGCTGTTGGGGTAGAGAGATGGAAATGAAAAGATAACTTGAGCTCTGAATCTGATCGATGCCCCCAAACCCCCATATGCAATAGCCAAAATCCGAAGCGGTCCACACCCGGCCCCTGCTCGACGAAATTCCTCGCCCGGGATAATCGTCTGAATCACCATGGAGTCAAGCATTCTGGATTCCATTGGCGTAGAGATCATCGGGGTGATGTCCCCTGTCTCCATCTGTATGCTCCTCGTTGTCCTCCTCGTCTACTCCCTCTCTTCCTCCAATCCCTTCTCTCCCGCTTCTGTCGATACCATTCGCACCGCTGCCAACCTTGTCTACGTCGAGAACCCTTCCGACTCTGCTTCCCAGAAGCTCGAAGGTGCTCTTCTGAATGCTTTGGTCTTCGTCATCTTAATTGCCATCGTCACTTTCCTCCTTGTTCTTCTTTATTATTACAACTTCACCAATTTCCTCAAGAACTACATGCGCTTCTCCGCCTTCTTCGTTCTTGGCACCATGGGCGGATCCATCTTCTTGTCCGTCATCGAAAAGTTCTCTATTCCTGTTGATTCCGTCACTTGTTTTCTTCTTCTTTTCAATTTCACCGTTGTTGGTGTTCTCTCCGTGTTTTCGGTTGGGATCCCAATTTTACTGAGGCAAACCTACATGGTTTGTCTGGGGATTATTGTGGCGGCCTGGTTCACGAAATTGCCCGAGTGGACTACTTGGGTTTTGCTTGTCGCATTGGCTGTGTATGATTTGGTGGCTGTTTTGGCTCCCGGTGGCCCGCTTAAGCTGTTGGTGGATTTGGCCTCAACTAGGGATGAAGAGCTTCCTGCCTTGGTGTACGAGGCTCGACCTACGGTCGCTCGAACTGGGAATCGCGGGGCTTCGTCTTTAGGGTTTTTGGTCGCTGGAGTTTCAGATTCTTCGTCAATCGAGCTTCAAGCAGTGTCAAGGGACAACGTCAATAGACATGAGAACGAGAGTGGCAGCAATGCCGACTATTCTGCAGTGACCTTGGGGGATTTTCAGAATGAGGAGGCTCACAGTGACAGAGATGATGGGGAGAGGTCGCCACTGGTGGGTAATGCGCGAGAAAAGCATTCATCGAGTAGTGATTCGTCGCAATATTCGACAGTTGTCGGTCCATCCAGTCGAGGTCAGCATTTTAATGGCAGGGACCATGAGATTGTGGGTGAGGAAACATCTCCTCTTGTAGAAATGATGGAAATGGGAAATGAAGGAAGGCAGTCGAGGGCTGGTGATGTGGAGATTGCTGATAGGGGTATTAAACTTGGGCTTGGAGATTTTGTTTTCTACAGTGTCCTTGTGGGTAGAGCTGCAATGTATGACCTTATGACAGTGTATGCTTGTTACCTTGCAATCATATCAGGACTAGGTTGCACTCTAATTTTGTTGTCAGTGTGCCGTCGAGCTTTGCCTGCACTTCCTATTTCTATCACACTGGGTGTTATTTTTTATTTCTTGACACGATTATTAATGGAGCCCTTCATTGTCGGTGCAGCCACAAATTTAGTGATGTTTTGAACTGGCGTTGTTTTCTTAGAGTGACAGATAATGAGAATTGTTAGAGATACACTAATCATTTCATAGGCAGGAAATTTGTTATTGGAGTTAAGAGTTAGTGCTCCGTTGTTGTCGTCTACTTTCAAGTTACATGTATTTTCTCATCATCAAATTATTTTTTCGGGGATTAGATAGTGTTGCAATTTATTATCACCAGAATGCGCATTTGGAATGCAACCTTTTTCTCACCCTTTGCCGTGGAGCTTGTAAACTTAGCACCTGTATTGTACTGCTAATGCAGTTGTCTAAGACTTTTGGCGTGCATGAGGTATGTAGAAAATAAGTGGTAATGGTGGAACTCCTTTTCTGTCTTATATTAATAGCTTATAAGTAGCCTCCTCCAATGAAGGAAATGGGACTCTTGCAATAAGTAGTTTGAGCTTACACAAAGAAACAGTGCATTACAGCCATGAAAGTAGTGAAAGAAAACAGAGAAGACAAAAATAATGTAGAAGAGACGCAGCTTCTTCCTCAGCCTAGTGTTGGAGAGATCAGGCACTTCCCTCACAACAAACCAAATATTTTCTTACCTCCTCTTAGGCCCCAAACCCCTCAATAAACCTCTCCAACCCTATAGACACACTCTCCCCAACTCACCCAGTTCACGTCCCTCGTGTGAGGTACAGCATTGGTCAGCCCACTCAGCCCAAGATCTACGGGGTCCATCAGGTAAGTGCACATTAGTACAATATACCAGTTTAACACTGCTTGCTTATGTATATTCGTTACATAAATCCCATGATAGAATGCCTTTTCCTTTCATATTTTGCTATTTTGAGGGTATGCTTATGCACATGCTTTTACAACTTTCCAGTATGCTTCAATTATGGTGAGCCCCTCTTATATGCCAAACAAGGATAAGGTTGTTTCATGCATCGTAAAGCAGTGTCCTTGTAGCCATTAACTTGCACCAAGTTGAAAATTATGTTGACTGGTGTATGTGTTCTATCACAATTTATGTTAAATGACATAAATTTGTTTACATATATTTGAATTTAGAGCTACGAGTGCATGAGCAAATTAGTCATGCATAGTAATGCAAGCACTTAGATTCTAATTTTTCTTGTATCAACAAGTTCATCAATGCCTGGCCATTTTATTCCTAACTTCATGTTTGTGCGTCATAGATAGAAGACTCTCTTTTAAGGATATCACCTATATGACCTAATTTTGAGTGAAAGGTGCTCTTACTGATTTCAGTTTGTAGCCTCTGTAATGGCTTCCCCCTTTGGGGTACAAAATGGTTTGGTTCGTTTAGATTTGATTAGTTCCTGGCTTCACTTCTGTTGTTTTACTGTATTTTCCTTCCTTTTCTGAGACAGGTGTTGGCTTTTCTCCCCATCAAGTTTAATTCCCAGTCTCGTATATGTTTCTGTGGTAAAATATCTGGGTATCTTTCTGATTATAGTGTATGAGATTTAGACAACGTTGGCAACATGAATAGAGAGTATAAGACACAGGAAAGGAGGAAAACGAGTTGGTTGCATACAAGTGGCAGGATTTGTATTTTCTAGTAGCCTGTGATGAGATCTACGAGCTTATTTCTTCAATGTCATCTTTATTTTAGTTACTATTATCATCAGCATCTTGTTCTTTGTGACCTGTCTTGTTTACTTTTACTCCATTTTAAGGGAGGTCCCTCGTACCCCCCTTTTATTCCCAATTTATCTGCCTTCTGAATTCTGCCTTCAACAACGAAGTGTTATGGACTTTTTTTTTGGATAAGAGATATCTTTTGCCTTGAACCCTTCTTCTTCTTCTTCTTTTTTTTTTTATTGAGTAAAAAGGAAGTTTCATTAATCAAAATTATTTACAGATCACTGCCCAGTGTAAACAACAGTCCGTGTAAGAAAGATAATTACAAAAGTCATGCATCAAGGGCAAACAAACTAGCGTAGTTGACTGCAAAACGTTGAGCCCTTCTTTAGGGATTCATAAGAGGAAAGGAGCTGGGTAGGCATAACTTTGTCTTCTCGGGCAATGAGCTAACCCTTTGGCTGGGAGTCGAGTTCCAACTCTCGCAGTCTCGCTGGGACTGCTGGCTTGAGCTCTGCCGAAGAGAGGCAATATCAAAACAACGAGAAATTTATTCTGTTTACTGGAAGGTAACTGTAGGTGAAATTTATTCAAGACTTATAATTATCAAATATTCAAATGTTAACATAATTTAGGCGGAGAGCAGTTGATTAATCCCTTCAAAATTCAACCTTTTTCCCCCTAGCCAGCTACACCCGTAATGTAAAATTATAATTATGTTGTATACAAAAACGTTATTTGTGTGATGAATATAAACAAGTAACGTTGATTACCAATCACCAATTATGTTCGGATATCAAGATAATCACAAATAATGTGCTCTCATTTTTTGTCCTAAAGCGCTTCCCTCTAATGATTGGATGTTTCATTAAAAACGAATTAAAAAAAATAATTTAAAAGCATAGTCATTTCATCCTAAAATATCATAAATTCTTATAAATTTCTCATATTATATTCTCTCTAATTCTTATTATAAAGGGAGAATTCCAAAGAAAAACAAAATAAAATTACTAATTCTAAATAATGATTTTTTTGGTAATATCTAAATAATGAATTTTCACAAAATTTTAAAAATATTGTTATCAAAACTTTAAAGCTTTGTTTAGTTTTTGTAATTTTAAAAAAAATCTTCCTATTATAAATATTTATCAACAATTTTACATAAATTAATATATAGCTATTATTCAGATTTTTAAATATTTCATGAATTACTGAAAAAGACAAAGAAACATGAATGGTGAAAAGGATCTGAACGTCGAATTCAGGAATGTTTAGATGAAATTAAAATTATAGTTTTAAAAATAATTTTATGATAAACAAAATAAATATTAAAAATAATTTATCTCAATTTATAAAAAAGTGTTTTTTTATAATGCTTCCCAAACACGCCGGAAAAGCCTTCTCGATTCCAATAACATCTACCATCGCAGTGGGAAGGATCGCCGGCGATTAAGTTGTGAAGGTGTTGTTCTCAAATGGCCGTTCTACCGGACGAGCTGTGGAGGAAAATTCTGGAAATAGGAGTCCAAAGCTGCGGATTTACCTACAAGGACCTATGCTGCCTCTCCATCTCTTGCCGACGCCTCCGCCGCCTCTCCGACGAAGACCCCTTTTGGAGCCACCTCCTCTCCTCTGATTTCCCTTTTACACAAACTTCTTGTGCCAGCAATTTTCTCGATTCTTATCCTTCATCTTCAACTTCGCCGTCATCCAAATCCCTTTACAAAATCAGGTACCACTGGAATTCAGACTTTCTCTAGGTACCAACATCTTGCAGGGTCCTTTGACGGATTAAAATTCTTTTGGCACTATTATTTCTTGTTAAAAAAAAAAAATTCCTTTCGGGCTCTTTTTAGGTTCGAGAAAGAGAAGGAGAGAAGAATAGCCGCTCACAGGAGGGCTGTATTTAGAAAGAAGAGTCAGATTGCTGAACATTTCAGAAAACTCCGAGACATTGAGAGCCGGATAAATCAAGAGAGCAACAAAATGAGAGAAAGTGCGGCAGAGTTGTCCAATTTGCGCAAGGTCAGGTTCGTCCCTAATCCACTACTTGCCCTGGTGAATATGTGCATAATTACTGAGCTAAAATTGAAGAACTCTTTTCTAACTCCCTTCGTAATATTAGCGGCCAATCCTAGTTGAATCTTAACCATATTTTCAGCGACATGTGCGAAGGAAAATTGTTGTTGTCATTTTAAGTTGCTGTATGTTTATTATGGTTTAAGTTGCTGTATATTTATTATGGGAGATGAAGGCGGCGCGGTTAAATCTTCCATTCCTCTATATATGACAGTTGCTTCCGTTAAAAACATGTCTTTATTTGATACCTTTTATCATAATTAACTTAAATTTGCTTTTGGTGATTGCTTTTGCAGACAAGCCTCCGCAGCTTTGAATGTGTGGCAACCAGAGGTTATCCGGGGTAGGCAAAAACAGTTAGTGGAGCAATGTGTTGTGCCTACTGAATCTCGGATTCACGCACTTGAGATGGAACTTAGACTTTGCAGGCAACAGATAATGAACTTGAAGAAGTCACATGTAAGTGCCGATATTTCCATTGACGATCGTGTTAATTACAGCTGAGCATTGATGGGCTGTCTCTGAAATAAAATTATACCAGAAGGATGAAAAGCACAGACTTGATACTGCAAAGGAAGAATTATCTTCTTTGAACTATCACCCTGTGAGGGAGCATAAGTCAGAAAGTGGAGGGGAGAACAGCTACTACATCAAGCCCAAGAAGTTGAAAAGATGCCATAGCTGTGAGTATCTGGTACAGTTCCTCTAATAACATGGTCAAAATCTTGAAAATTGCGTATTGCTTGCTTTGGTACAAGAAGATTTTAAGCTTTTAATTCCCCTTTTTTTTGGGGAGGGGATTTCTTTGGCACCTAACATGCACACTTCCATATTTTTTGTCGCCGTCTGGGCAGTTTGTCTTATCATTAATTTGACAGAAAGACTCATAGTAAGGTGGGTTTATTGATTGTGCAGTGGAAGGAAAGCAACACAAAACATCATAGTTGAATATGCACCTTGCATTGAGTACCCAATGATCCCATTTTCCAGAGGCAGGAGCGACCAATATTTGCAGGGTCGAGGTGCTGGCCAATACTCTGCTGCAAATTGATGGTTCACATGCTCAAACAGAATCAGTTGCGGATTCACATTTAACGATCCATGCTAGCTCTTCACATATTAGTGATCATTCTATTATATATCTTACTAAAATACAATTTGGGTATTCCATGTGGGTTGGGGCTCTTGTAGCAGACATTATCTTTCTTCTCATGGAGTCTTAATTGATTCACTGGGAAGGATAAACAGATGTTCTTCTCGCTATATTTATCAGAAGGTACCAGTTGAGGAAATGAAAACACTGTATGATTCAAAATTTGATGATGTTGATGTTCCACAGGTTTGAGACAGATGAAAGAAGAAAACAAGTATCTGGTTGATTACATTTTTTGATGTTCTTCCTCGGGTATTTGCTTTTTCAGCAACATCAAAGTTGTCTATGTGTAGAACTGTAGGCATTTTATTTAGACTTGATAGATGAATAACATGCTGGGACAAGGAATCAATTCCACCGCTGGCACGGGGAAGGTGATCCTGCCTTTAACAATGTCTTGCTCAGCATCCAATCCAAAAGTTACTCTTAGGCGATTTGGCGGATGGGTGCGATTGCAAATTAGGTATACAGAATTACTGATTATAAATCTAACGAGAAAAGATCTTGGAGTCATATAAGAGCCTCAGATGGTCACCTGATCCCTCTGCTGTAGCTTGTAGGCCGTGTGGAAATCTTATCAGCGTGGGTTAGAAGCATAGCGTTGAATACTTTCTGTGATAGGAAAATGGTACTCTGACGCCTTTTATCTACCTCTTGAAACATTGTATCTGGGAGGAGGAATAGAAGTTAATGTAGATCCAGGGTGAGAATTCAACTCTTTCTGTGCTCACTTTAATAACACCCATCTCTTTATTATTGATCTGGATGTTCTGCTGTTATGTTTTTTTCGCCCTCTCGGTGTTCTTTCTTCAGTTGAACGTACTCTCCATTCTCCTTATTGTTAGTGTTGCCAATGGCTCTTTGATGGCTAGTTTTTGTGTCTATCCGTCTCGGCCATTTAAGCCATGCAATGAAAGGTCCTGCCAACTAATACATGGCTTAGCAACCATCGTCATCTTGTAACGCCGGCTAGATCCTATATTGCAGCCGATTATTAGTGCAAGTCTTGTGTGGCTTGAAATCCTTCATTAATTATTACGATGTTCCTAAAATGAATCTAAAAAAGACTAGTGACAGGTGCATTAAATCCAGTTGGTGCCATGCCGCTCAAGTTGTTGGCTAAAGGAGCCTGACCTAACTATTCCCACATTCTCTGCCCAATGCTGGTAATATTACGCGCAATTCTCTTTCTAATGTCAGTGATATTATAATTATTCCATACTTCCATGGCGTATTGAGCTATGCGGAGATTTGTCCGCCATGATTAACCTCATTTCAGTTTTGCTTATATGGGGAAGAAATGGAGCAGGAATGTTGGAGGGCAAAGCGTTTACCTTTTCTCTTGTCGATAAAGAGAACTTAACGTTTAGCAAAGGTTTCCAATTGGTTGTAGGCCGTAGCAGAGATTCTTTCCGTTAACGAAAATGGAGGCATCCCATGTGAAACGTCACATGTTCTCATCCAACTAAGGCATGAGTGGATTGAGTGCTCCGCAAAAATAGACAGATTATTGCTGTGTACATCAGAGAATTCAGGTCTATCATTGTTACGTCACCAGGAAAAAGCCTGGTGGAGTTGCTCCATTCGACCTGGGTACACCAAACAACCTTAAAGCATTGTGCCCAAGCACGTGAATATGTAATAAATAGACGTAAGATTTTCAAGCGAAGGTCAATTTGTGCATATATCTGACGCCTTAAAAATTTTATGATCTCTGGTAGAAATGGAAGCTGGTTCCTGGGGGCCACTGATACAGCGAAGCCTGTTTTAATACCTGATGCATTTGTGATTGTCCCACAGCGTTATTCGTCTTATGTCTTTCGGTGCAAGAGAACCGACAAGATCGTTCTGCAAGTGCAAGACCCCAGTCGCCAAAGTCATTGGTATATACGTACGGTACGGGCAACTTTTGGTCAGATCATTAGTAACTTTCTTTGGATTCAATTCTTTGTTTATGTTCTCCCCAGAATGCCAAGTCTATCATCGCAGTTCTAAAATCATGCTCTTCTTGGACTTAATTAACTAAATTAGTGAAAAAGCAAACAAGGACCACATAATAATTAGACAGACTTCAATGGAAACAAAGGCCATGCTACTTTTTGAGATGACGCGTCCTAGGGCTTTTTTACCAATATACGATAAACAGTAAAATTATTTACCAAAATACTACACTTTTGAAACTATTTACCAATATACTGCACTTAAAATCGTTCTTGGCAAGAACGATTTTAAAATTACACACAAGTCGTTCTTTGCGTGAACGATTTCAGAAATCGTTCACGCCAAGAACGATTTTACTTTTTCCTGTTCACCCTCTCACATACCAATGTCTGCTAATTTTACATGCAAAAATAAGAATCCTTGATAATGCTCCCATGAGGCTACAACGTCTATATTGGATTAAAATTTGAAATTCCCAATTTTTTTAATTTTTTAAATAGAGCTTGATAAAATTTTCTGTCATTTCCTCTTCTTTTTATTTTTCTCATACCAAACAATACATAACCAAAAAAAATTATGCTTTGATTGTAAATTTTAAATTGTAGCAATTAAGTTGTAAGACTAAATCATTATTATTATTATTTTGGTCACAGGCATAAAAGATCTATGTCCAATACTTGATTTCTCGTCAAACCGAACAAATGCCACACAACTGGCTTTTTTACCAAAATACTACAAAGAGTAAAATTATATACTAATATGCTGCACTTTTAAAAGTATTGACTAATATGCTACACTTAAAATCATTTTTCAGGTGAATAATTTTTAAAGTCATTTATCTACTGAACGACTTCTTCATTTAACAAATGTTTACGCCAAGAACGATTTTTAAAATCGTTCACACTAAAAACGACTTGTGTGTAATTTGAAAGTCATTCTTACTAAGAACGATTTTAAGTGCAGATAAATGCCACACAAGCTTTCGTGCACATCAAAGATAGATTATGAAAAAATCATTCAGCAGATAAATGACTTTAAAAATTATTCACCTGAAGAACGATTTTAAGTGTAGCATATTAGTCAATACTTTTAAAAATGCAGCATATTAGTATATAATTTTACTTCTTGTAGTATTTTGGTAAAAAAGCCTGTCGTATGGCATTTATTCGGTTTGACGAGAAATCAAATATTGGGCATAGACCTTTTATGCCTGTGACCAAAATAATAATAATAATAATTTACTCTTACAACTTAATTGCTACAATTAAAAATTTACAATCAAAGCATTTTTTTGTTTGTTACGTATTGTTTGGTATGAGAAAAATAAAAAGAAGAGGAAATGACAGAAAATTTCATCAAGCTCTATTTAAAAAATTAAAAAAATTGGGATTTTCAAATTTTAATGCAATATAGACGTTGTAGCCTCATGGGAGCATTATCAAGGATTCTTATTTTTGCATGTAAAATTAGCAGACATTGGTATGTGAGAGGGTGAACAGGAAAAAGTAAAATCGTTCTTGGCGTGAACGATTTCTGAAATCGTTCACGCAAAGAACGACTTGTGTGTAATTTTAAAATCGTTCTTGCCAAGAACGATTTTAAGTGCAGTATATTGGTAAATAGTTTTAAAAGTGTAGCATTTTGGTAAATAATTTTACTGTTTATCGTATATTGGTAAAAAAGCCCGCGTCCTAGCCTGCCTGTCGGTGAACCTATCCTTGAAGGGAAGCAAGTACAAATGGCTCATAAGTATCTCTCCAATGAATACTATTCAAATTAAACTGCAATCATTTAAATTTAATTCATATTTTAACTGGGATATTAAACTTTACGGCAAAATAAATGAATAAATTTATATTGTCGAAAATTAATTTGGTCTCTTCGAAAGTTTAGCAGTAAAAAAGCAACAAAAAAAGAAAAAAGAAGGAAGAGAAGCCATTGCAAAACACACCACAGTCATCATCTTTCTTCTGAATTAGTGTCTTGACTCCGCAATTTGAGAGGTGCTACTGAAATCTCAAAAAACTGTTTTTTTTTTTTAAAGGTATTTTCTTCTCTCCGCTGTGCAGATTTCATTTATTGTAGGAGTTCAAATGAATTTGTAGCAGTGCAAATCAAGAAGGAAAAGAAAAAAAAAAAAAACCACCAGTCAAAAAATAAGTCAACCTTATCATAAATCTGCTGTCATTTACAAGTTTAGTTTGTGTATTTAATATTTTGTTTGGTGGAAGTAACCTTTAATTCTGATTAATCAAGAGAATTAGATTAGACACTCACTGACACTTCTTTTTTCTGGCCTGAATTTGTGAAATGAAGTTTCACACCTTTGTTGAGGAACTTCAGTGCCACGTGACTGAGAAAAGTAGAACAGTAGTGTGTTCTACTGTAAAATTAAAGCTATTAGAAGGGTAAGGCGACTCGGCAAGATAGATGAGTAAGTGTAAAAATTAAGTGCTACTTCGACCACCCAATATATAAATACTCCTAGTTGTTACTATACGAAATCTCCATAGCAAAGTTTGAGGCTAAAAAGAAGCCATGGGAAGGCCTCCTTGCTGTGAGAAAGTTGGCGTCAAGAAGGGTCCATGGACACCTGAGGAGGACATCATTCTCGTTTCTTACATCCAAGAACATGGTCCAGGAAATTGGAGATCAGTTCCTACTAATACTGGTAATTTCATCCATTGTTTAGTTCCCAAGTCTTAAAATTTTGTTTATGTTTCATCAGTTGGAAGGAAGATGACCGATATAAGGCTGTGATACCGTCATGCCAGTATTATCTGATCTTGTTCTTCTTGATTTTGCTTTGAACTTGATCTCAAGACTTCTGAATTGAAACCGACAGATTAAAAGTATTTTTTCCCTCCTTCTGTGGTTGAAAGGTTTGTCAAGGTGCAGCAAAAGCTGCAGGCTTAGATGGACGAACTACCTCAGGCCAGGAATCAAGAGGGGAAACTTCACTTCCCATGAGGAAGGAATGATAATTCATTTGCAAGCTCTACTGGGTAACAAGTAATATTCACAAATTCTATACAAAAATCTTGGATTTTCTTTTCTATATCATTTTGTTACCAGCCAATATATGGGAAACGGACAACTAAGTAACTGGTACCAGTTTTTATTAATGATTTTGATGTGTCTGAATTTGTCGAGCTGTTGATTGTTGAGCAGATGGGCAGCCATAGCTTCGTACCTTCCCCAAAGGACAGATAACGATATAAAGAATTATTGGAACACCCATCTGAAGAAGAAGCTGAAAAAACTTCAAACAGGATTGGACCCCCACCTTGCAGCAAACTCCACAACAGCTAATCAGTTTGTTTGTAAGAGTTTTAATGAGAGAGAGAGTTTAGCTGTGATGGGAAATAACCATGGTTCGTCTCAAAGGTTAAATCAGTCTCAATCATCCACCTATGCATCCAGCACTGAGAACATCTCTCGCCTCCTAGAAGGTTGGATGAGATCCTCTCCAAAGACAGACACAACTAATCTCCTCAAAGCAACCCAAAATCACACAGAGCTTCAGAGCAACAGCAACATCGAAAATGGTAGTAACATGGCGAAGTCTTCTCTTAGTCTGATGTCCAACCAAACCAAAGACGAGCGGGAAGAGGGCGGTGGTGATATGATGTCCCATGAAGAGTTTGATTCCATTCTGTCTTATGAGAACCTTAATAATGCTTCTTGGGACAAGTCCACAGGCGATTCTACGCCTCCAACTCAGGAGAGTTCTGGAGCGGCTGCTGCTGATGAAGATGACAAGGTTCGTTTTATGGCTCATGATGATGAGGGGAATAAGCAAAGATCTGAGAACACTACTGCTGATCCTCCATTGTCAGTTTTCGAGAAGTGGCTCTTAGATGAAAATGTTGGTCAAGTAGAGGAGATGATGGAATTATCCCTTACTTTCTAACAGATCAGAGGATCGAATAAATGGATCCTTGAGTCTAGGATATGTGGCAACTCTAAACATAATTAGTGTCATATGAAAGAGGAGTTTAAAAAAAAAAAAAAGGAAACTGTCTTCTGAAAAGCGTCTAGGTTACTCAAATCATATGTAGAGGATTTAAGACGCTAGGATCTTCGTCAACATGCATATATGTAACTTCAGATTTATCAATGATTTGTGTCAAGTAAGTTTGTAATTGGCTTGCCTTGCAGGAAGCTACTCATCATGTTTTCTCGCGTCTCAGACAGTAAATAATCTTCTAAGACCTCCAGGGAAATCACCCTCACAAATGTTAAACCTATTTTAGCATTTCTACCTCCCTTTTCTATATACTCATTATCCTCTCTTTTCTATCTTCTCCGCGTTCTCTTTTGTTTGACCTTGTTCTCCATGTTTTTTTTAATTGCTGCATTTATTAATAATTTTCATCAAGAGTAAACAAATGAGGAGATAAGGTTGCATAAAGAAGTGACGGTATGTGTATTTATTTAGAGTGGGAAGTCGTGATATGACCTTAGTGTCCAAGACCTTTGGTATCATCGCCGGTGGACCTTGCCGTCCTTAACCAGTCCTTGACACATTATTACATGCCAAACCATTCATTGAACGACTATTATCAGCATAATACTTGAACAACACCTGACGCCTTAAATTTTCAGGAAGAGTAAGACTTTAAGATTAAGGGTGTTTGAATTTGAGACACTGCGAGTTGGTATTGGTGCCAATCAAGCAATAAATTGGCAGCATTGAAAAGCATTTGATTTTCTTAAACGAAACCATGTTATAAAATGTTACGTTGGAATTGTATTTTAATACACATACGGACACAGACCAAAAGTTTTGATACGAAATATTATTTAAAAGCATTAGTATTAAAGTCGGTGAGATGGGCAAATAAATTTGACCATAGACATATACTAATTAATGAGGAAACTGAAAAAAAGATGAAATGCAGGGATTAAAAGAGGAAGGAACAGCGATGGATGTGTGTGGTGTGTGAATGAAAGGGAGATAGGTGTCACGAAGGTCTTGCAAGCAAACATACTGTACAAAAGAATGGGCACTTCAAAATCCTTTTCCTTTAAGAAATATACTTTGTATGGGAAACATGTGATCTTCCTCTTCACCTTTCGGTGCAAGAATCTGAATCTTAATGTTCACCGCGTAGTCTATAATTTATCAACACAGACAAACATTTAAGTTTCACAAGATATGCAAATATATATACACGAGTTTGACTCTGGGCGGTGGTGCACCAATGATAGTTTGCCGCGTAGCAGCGTATAGCTAGGTACAAACCCTGAGCCTTACCACTATAATGGATTAGTAATTAAAAGCACCGTGATTAATTTGGTGAGGTTGAATTGAGCAGTCCAAATAAAGTACCATATAGCTGGATTTATATATATTATGGTTACTTAACTGTTGTTTTTATTATTGAATGCAGGTGGCTGCTTTGGGACCAAATACGGCATGCTGCAATTGGCAACTGTTGAGGTGCATCATTGATTAATGCTCTCACACAATCAATAATAAGAGAAAAAGTAAACTGCTTATGAAGCTAAGTCATAACGTACCGAAAAAAGAGAAGAAAAAGCTTACGAAAGAGCAAAAACCAGAGCAAACAATAATAGGGGCGTAAGAGAGAGAGGTGAGAAGAAGATGAAAAGTGGTGTAAATGGCCTACCTCATGTATGTTTACCTGCTTTGAGGGTAATGAGGAGAATGCCTTTTTTTTTTGGGGGGGGGGGGGGTACATTTGGGAGACTCTAAAAGAGCAACGAAAGACTTTGTTGTCATGTTGTAGGGGCTTGCTTGGAGGGGTTCCTATATTTATTCTACTCTGACAAGGAACATACGATAATGTTGCAGTGTCTGTCTGTCATATATTCAGTTATATTCACAATCATGACTTGATGGCTTTCTTTTTTCACTCTTGCACAGGTTCATGAGGTAGTCAATCAGTCTCTTTCATCTTTCGCACAAAACTCGTAACTGTACGAGGCTGGGCTTTCCTCCACATCCGATCCTTGGCCACAAAACTACCCTACTCCTTCCTTCAGCTGATGATCGAGTGGCGTGTGGCCAAACATTCTATGGGAGTCAAGCAACGGAACGGGGCTTCATAATTAAAAGAATGATAGAGAAGGAATGTGAATCCATGAGCTTATCAGACGCTAGCTGGAGTGTGAGGGTGAAGGTGATGATACCATTATTATCTGGCGACTACAAAATCCACCATATAAACGTGTTTTAAAAAGTTGTTAGAATTAAATTATTTATTTATTTAACCTTCTTAATCTACTCAAATTAAACAAATAGATTGAGAATTGGAGGGAGTACTGATGACACCTGTACACCACAACAATGCAAGCTAGATATTATATTGATGAGTAATTCAGGTTTATGGTGAAGGGGAAATCATGGAATCATTTTGCTAGTGTGTGGCACGAAAGCTGCCATTAATATATAGAAGTAATGACGTCCAAAAATTCAAACTATCACACGCCAAATGGAAGGGTTATTGGTGCAAAGTACAAGGTGAAGGTGATCCCACAGACTTGAATGCAATTAAAGACGTGTCCTTTCTCTCGCTATCTACCTTGTAATGATGAAAATGAAGTTGGCCTTTCTTCACTCTCACATTTAATTCGCCTGCAAAATTAGGCTCTCGAACAAATCCGAAATCCCCCATCCATGATCAGCCCACCTACTCTACCTTCTGTGTTGGTGGTATTCATAAGATAATGGGAGAAATTTTTTTATATGGATGTATAATTTTACTTTTTATTTATTATTGTATTGACTTTGTTTATATGAGGTATAATATATATTAAATGGAGATAAAGTTGAAAAGTTATTGAATTTTAAATGAGAATTAATAAAATTTAAAATTTTCCTTAACCTGTGTGAAACATATTGAAAGTGATTTACAAATAAGACTACAAGAGTATATTACAGTTTACTACAAAACACAGCTATGCGTATGGGTATGTATTAAAAATAATATCTTTTAGAAACCGCTACAAGACATTCATTACCACTAAAAAATTGCGAGAGAAGAAAGTTATGGAACTATACCTAATTTTAGTTAGAATTTCAGATGATTCGAAATTTTCTTTCATAGAATTACTTTAGAAATTCGATCACACCTATATATATATATATATATATATATATATATAGCTAGAACTTTATATTCTTTGTAATTTCTTTGATCGAATCACTTTGGAAACTTTTGAGAGATTGAAAGCTTGTTTGGTTTCTCATTTTTAAAATAATTTTTTATTTTTAAAAACAAAAAAGCAAAAGAACTTGTTTAGTAATTTGTTTTTAATTGATTGTTTTAAAAAACAAAAAAACAGTAACATGTTTTCAAAAACTAAAAGATCAAAATAATTTTTACCTGCTTTCTTACTTTTGTTTTTGTGTTTTTTATTTGTTGCTTAGAAAAATAGGAGAAATTTTCTTTTTTACTCACCTACTACGTACTACTTATCATTATCAGTGACAACTATCATCTATCAAGTGTGATTTTTTATTTTTTTTAAATGTGATTTTTTAATTATTATCCAAAATTTTTTTTTTTCCAAAACTTGTTCTAAGAGTTATAAAATCGTTTTGAGAACAAGAAAATAAAAAGCAAAAACAAACAGGCCATATTTTTTTTTATCCAAAGACGGCGGCCAATTCATTAGAATAAAGCAATTATGATAGTTTAACCTTAAGCTCAGGTTGCCATGTCCGAAGTCCGAACACAACCTATATATCAATCAGCAGTGTTTTGTCAAAGGATGCCAATAGAACGAGTCATAGTCTATTAATGTGAGTGCATAATAAATAGTAGCATTTCATTCGGCCGAAATATCAGTACTAGACAAAACCAAAAAAAAAAAAAAAGAAGCGTTGTATCATTTCCAAAATCAATTGCCAATCCATTGACATTTCACAATGGTAGGGTAGGAACTCATCATTTGTTGTAAAGTCATCATAAACAGTAGGGTAACATTTTATCTAGAATTGCGAGCCCCCTTATTTTCAAGTACCAATCCATAGACTCGTATGAATGAACAGGACACACATTTAATCATACATAAACATAATTGATTGATAAAATAGAATAAGAGAGCATCATGGCCGCTTTAACTGTAGCATGAAGGACTACGTACAGAGATTCTAACTAACTCATTACTCACGTCATGTACAACATTAGCTTCTTCGTCACAACATGTGCTCACTTGTTGGCTGACACACAGGAAACTAACGGCAAGACTGATTGTATGCGTTGAGACAGGTATCGGAGTTTCATTGGCCCCCTAATTTCAAAAAACCTAGGCGGCGGAGTTTTTTACAATTATATTTCTTCTTTCGAGCCAATAATTTACTGGTGCAGGCATTGTGGGTAAGCTTCTCTCTTTCTTAGACAGAGATCGTGCATGGCGCCTGGATCTGTGTAACTTGAGCCTCATTGCAGGAACTCTACGAGCCACAGCCTGCCAAATCATCTGCACAGCGTCTCCTTCCTTTGACGGGTACTGAAACTCAAACATGGGTTCTACCTCTTTCAGCTTGTTCCACATTCGGGTCCATTCTTCTTTGCCAATGCTCCTTATGAAATTCATCAGATAGTTTCTCTTAAGTGCGTCTCTTGTGCGAACAAATATGCAGAACTCAGAGTAGTCAAGGACATCCTCGTATGGTAGTTCAATCTCATCACTTATAATCACAGGAACACAGTGACTAGCAATGGCATCAAAAAGGCGATTTGATGAAGGAGTGTCACCAGCTATATTGAGACAGAACTTAGAAGAATGCATTCCCTCCGTTGCTTGCCTGATCCCACCTTTCTGGACACTCCCAGATGAAAAATGCACATCTTTCTCATTTTTCAACATATTATAAAGTGCCAGCCTAGCATGTCCACCCTGAGAATCAGGAAAAGACACACAAGTTAATTAAGGAAGACCAGTTTTGCATAACAGGAGAATGCAAAAACAGATCAACTCCATGAAAACTTACATACATCTTTTCTATGGATTGCCCCTTGAAAGTAGAGCAATATTGGGCGGGTATCGAAGTCAGAGGAATCGTTGACGTAGGATCCGACCACGTGTTTGTATGGTGCAATCACATCTTTCTCAACATTCGCTATGTTTGGAGGATACCTCCCAAAGTCTGAAAGTATGAGTGTTGCTGGCCATAACTGCGTTCTCGCCGTCAACATACTATTCGGATGGTGAGCTAATATCAAGTGGTCCACTCCACCAGACCTCTTCCATTCCTCTCGAGACGTCAGAAACTGCACTAATTTGTCTTGCAGTACCCTGTTCATGCTCTTTCTTTCGCGTCTATTGGTTCTGGAATGCCGGTTATAGCACAGAGAAGAAAAGAACGGTACAAATATGATATCAGCTTCGCTGACATTGCGAACTCTCATTGCAGCACCAGCATTGGGGGGTTCCGGGAGTTCTGAAGCAAGAAGATCCATGGTGAGCCAAAATTCTATGCTGTGCTGTAAATTCAAGCCGCCAGGATAATGAGGCGTTTGGGTTGAAATATCAGGCCAAGCAGTATTTCCTTCGGGTTTCCAATCCAAGAGTCCGAAATGGAACTCCGGAGGTAAGTCATACATGAAAACCTTAAGAGGAACAACAACGCTGTCGTTTTTCCTGCCGCACTTGGATTCATCGCCATTTGTTGCAGGCGCTTCATTCTGAGGTAGTGATTCTGTCTCGTGGGTCGCTTCTATCTCTTCAGCGTTCACTAGTATTGCTCGGTTGCCGATGGAGGACTCAACATTTACATTATCGTTCTTGAGAGTTGAATTATCGAACTCAGTTGAGAGCTTAGAATTAGGTATGAAATCAGAATCAATGAAACGGGGACGACTGCTTGAACGAAGAACAAAGAACCAAGATAACAAAAACAGGGTAGATGTCGTCGTAAAGAACCATAACAATGACTTGCGAGAAACAGCCTTCATGGATGACGCCGCAATTCTCTCAGCCATTGCAGGAATATTACTGCAAGCATATCAGCCTACACCGCCGCATTCAGAAGCACCATGACAGGAATTTAAGAAGAAAATGATAAGGTTATATAACTCAACATAGCAGAGCGCGAGATATAGGATGGGGGACGTTATTGTGGCAATGTCTCAGCCACCTTAATCTAAATCAGCAAAAACAGAGGCAGGCGAAACCAAATGAAACCAGAAAATTGATGAGAAAGCTGGAGAATGAAGAATAATAGGCAGGACATGGGGACAGAATTCTTGAGAGGAACGATTAGGAAGGAGTGGGAAGAAGCGGGAGAATAGGGCCTAGGATGTGAACTGAGGAAGCGGGCTACTCTGATTGAGCTCCACAACTGCGTCGCGTTGCATGCTGGCTCTGTTTCTATTTCAAGGATGGTAATAAATTCAGGGTTTGCCTGATTAGATCGTCAAAGCAGGGTACTCTGCAAAAGATATTAATTTTGGGACAAAGTAATTAAGGCGATGGAGATCACATTGAAATGAGAGCGATTGGCGGAAACGCACCGTCATTATTTGGGGTGGTGGAGTGGGGATTGGAATATGTTATTATTGGGATTATAAAACAGCATTTAATGTGAGCGACGATGCGTGCACGCAAGTCGCTTGGGTGGATCCCAGCAACGAGTAGCACAGAGCTTGACACATGCACAAGCAGCCAGTAGTGCGCCCTTGTTAATTTTAATTACTGCTAAATTAGTTACCAAAGCACTATAAAAATCACGTTTCCGTAGAGTAGAGATGGGATTTAAATTCACATTTAAAATCCAGGTATTTAAAATTAATTTTTTGTTATACTCATTGGGGTTTGAGCTCATTTAGGGTTCTGGCTACTTCAGATTATTTATCTGAGTAGTATTAAAAAATCCACAATTGAGTTATCTTATTTGTGTGACCTGTCTTGAATAATATTTTAAAAATTATATTTAAGATTTTAAATAGTTAGAATAAATTAGGTGCTTGATCCCTTAAAACGAGTACACTTTATTCAATTCATTTAACAAGTAACGAATAGTGTAACTGCGGCTCTTCCGCCTTTTATTATAAAATTTAACTTTTTAAATAAGTCCATTTCCTTTGATAAGATTTTCTTTAAATTTATCTAAACATTTAATATATTATTACTTATTTTATCTCTAATTTAAAATATTTAATTTAATTTTTTTATTTATCTTATTATTACTTTCTCACATTTATCTATTTATATATAAAGGCATATTAAGAAAAAAAAATTACATTTACTACATATTAATAACTTTTAACTAATTTTAACTGTTTTCTTAAATCACATAATTTCATTAAAAAGATTTTATAATAAGAGATAAAAGAAGCACATCTATAGAAATTATGAACACGCACCAAAAACTAAATAAAAATTATCAACAGCGCAAATCCTCTATTGGGCCTCCTCTCCAAATTTTGTATTTACTTTTTTCTTTATTTTAATGACCATTGTGTACTGTACCAAAAAATATCACTAATGTGTAATGTCTAAACTCAAAAGCCCAACCCCATGTTGGCAAAAACAAAAAGCCCAACCCCCGAATTCAGCCCTTAAATAGCCCATGACGAAGCATTAAAAAGTGTCCTTTCCATTTCGGAAAGAGAGAGAGAGAGAGAGAGATATATAATATATATATATATATATATATATATATATTTGGCGACACATGCAAGCAAAATATTTCTGCACTTGAAAGCATGTGGATGCTCATAATGCAAGAAACCATAGAACGCAATGTCTCAACCTCATAATCGGATTAAACGCAATTATTTCAGATTTTCTACTCTGCCACAGGAGAACGTTCTGAAACTAAATGCACCGTTGACACAATGCTTTACAGTCAAAGCAGGTTATAAATCAATCAGAACTGGAACTGCATCTCGGGGGAATATCCAAGGGCATCCAGGTGAGCAGCCATTGCCTTGTTCATGGGTGGGGGGCCACACCTCAAAATCTGCGAATAAACATTCCACAACCACCATAATTAATCATCATCCTCCTCTAAAGCTTAGAAGCTCACAGAATCAATAGAAGACCAGTCACAACATCAAAGCTCCAAATTAATAATATGGAGAATATGGTAAGAGTAAATAAAACAAAACCTTGATATCATTGGCTGGAGCAGGGCAATGTGTTTGGATCATCTCCTTTGAAACAAATCCAACACCACCATCCCATACTTCAGGAGGCTGGGTCGATGACATAATTTAAGTCAGTAATATCAAAAGGACTTATCATTAGACAGTCATTATATACAACACTACACAGAATATCATGAAGCGGCCTCTTCCCAGAAAGTATCATGGATGTTATTCAAGCACAAAGCATGTAAGTCCGAGTCAGGAAACTCCCAGAAACCACTAACATGTATCTTCACACCAAAGGACTTTCTTCCAAAAGCAATCAATTATAGTCAGAGCCCAAGCGCATATTATGTCTGTCCTTGTTAATTACTATTTACTAATCACTTTCACGATTTTTTTTTGTGTGAATTTCCTCACTAGATTTTGCACTTTCCAATTGCTTGATCAACCCTAGTTAGGACTACAATTGCAATATCAACAATGATGCCAAAGCGTACAGGTTATGGATGAGAAAAGGAAAACTTTTGTTCTGCATTCTACAGCAACTAACCTGGTTCAAGACATAATATACTTTAAAGCGATCAGGATACTTCGAAGCAAGACCATCCAATTCTCCCTGCATGCATAAGAAAAGTGTATATGAAGGGTTCCCTTTGAATAGTACAAACAAATTCAAAAGGCAGTCACTGACTGATGGGGGGATGCGTAGCTCAAGTTTTTCCATGATTCCATTCGTTCAAGGAAAAGAAACAATAATAATGAGGAAGGAAAAATTGAGTACAAAATTGTCTTCATGAAGAAACAGCTACATAATTCTTTGACACTTGTAACACTCCATTTTGTATGTGATGGAACCTTAACATCAACCGCCCCTCCCCCCAGGGCAGCAAAAAGAAAGGAACCCTCCTCAATGAACATGCGAAGGACATTCGTATGGAAGAATAATCTCTCTTAACTAAGCAAGCTCATAACCTCAATAGATACTAGTGTATACGGAAGACAAAAGCATATCCAACCACTTCGCAACCAAATACATGCATTTTGCCCCAGTTATTGACATTTCCTATGCATAACTTTAAGAAAAGACTCGGCAATTGCGTAAATAGACTTGAGCTAGGCATTTTGAAACAGCCATATAATATTGCTAAAAGTGCAAAATGTGCTTTGTGATGAACAAGAATTGTATCACATCGGCATAAAATTCTCAGTATGCCTACAGACTCTGTACAATTGACCATAGGTCATGCATGGACAAACTAATCAACTTTAGTATCAAGCTATGAATCTCTTCAAACAAAATGGAAAATATAATATACTTCATTTTTCAAAAATAAAAAATAAAAATAAATGCCAGTTACCTTCAAAAGAATGTCCTCATATGTAACATTGGCATAGATAAGATGCACCTTTGTCCTGTCTTTTGGGTTTTCTAGTATGGCTCTAGCAACCTAGAGAAGCAACAGGGTAAAAGGCTATGAAAGAGAATTCTTTTAAGCCTCTCATGATGAAAAAACAAACAGTATCTGTTCAAAATGTATACTTGGAACATTGGAGTGATTCCAGACCCTCCAGCAATCATTCCAAATGCTCTAACCTCACCAATTCGATACTTGAAGCGTCCCTGAAAGTGATCCGATGTAAGATAAAACTATCCAAATAACAAGTCTTTGATTCGGCTATAAGAAATTATATCCAAAATACAAAGATCAAATCTTAAATAGATTGAAGTTACCAAATAAAAATACTAGTCAGAAAACGCAAAAATTAATTTCCTCATATTTCTCTGTTCCTTGGGCATAGACATTAAGATAAATTTGACCTAACACGGAGTAGTAACTGGAATTTCATTCAAATATAATATGAAAATAATTTTACCAGAAATTGCTAGAAATGTCTAACATTCATAAGGACCACAATAGCCATTAGGAAATAAAATAGGGAGAACGACAATTAGGTCCTAAAAGAGGAGATTAATGGCAATTAGGTCCCGACAAATTTTTCAGAAAAATGTTACAAATAACAATTTGAGCAACTGCAAATTCAGGAATCTCAATTGCAAACAAGACATTTATGTATCAAATATAACTCAATTTGCAATTGAGATTCCAGCTTGCAACCGTGAATCGATGTTTGCAACTCATTTTTCAGAGATTTTTTTCAGGGACCTAACTGTCATTTGCTCTCTCTTTAGGGACTTGGATGTCATTCCCCCCAATAAAATAAGACATCAATGATCAAAGTTTCTAACAGAAAGAAGAAAAGGGGGAGCCTGAAAATTTTTATGATAGCGCGTTCTAGAAACATTTACCTTGGGTCCTTTAACAGCAAGATAGTCTCCAACACGCATCTCACGGAAATGGTGTGACATCCTTCCTTGTGGGTACATCTACTCGACGGCAAGCAGAAGAAAATAACAAGGGACAAGATGAAGAAGACTGGAAATAGAAAATTTGGGGGGGGGGGGGGGAGGATACAGACAGTCGCCTCAGTCCAACCCAAAAAGAAAAAGGTTGGACATACGAACCTTTATAACTAGTTCAAAATACCCAACATCAGAATCCAGCGTAGTAGGTGTATATGGTTTGATTACTTCTTCACCTTGACCATCCTTACCCCTGTTAGAAAAGGAGCTTGTTCCTAGTATGAAAACAAAACTTTGACAAAGAAACTAAACAAAAGAACTTTGTCTCCCGTCATACTTCTGACTAAAATTCAAAATGCCTAATATCTGTTCCCAGCCAACATTAAGATTTACATGATAAGCACATAACAATTTTGAAACTAATAATCCCAAAAGGTTTCAAGCACAGTGAGAAACACAAGAAACAAGATCAGGCAGCGAAACCTGCAACTTATATGTTGTCCTATTGGAAGACCCAAAACTGAAGTAGGAGTTGGAAGTTTAAATGTGAACTTTGCCACATTATGGCTCAGCTGAGTACGCTTCACAAGTTTAAACTCCTTAAAGTCCTCAGGGTTTAAGCAACCTGCGATCACATAGATGATGTGATGTTCAGTTTAGAGATCAATAGAATAACTAGATACAACATTAAAATCAGAAACTACAAACATAACAAGCAGTAGCAAGAATTTAGTTCATCCCAGTATTCAATGCAATGAGTTTCACGTCATCTCTAAATTTTTCCCACTCTTGTCAAATAGGAATTCCAATGAAAATTAAGTCGAGAAATATTCTACACGCAGTGATAGACACTGTCGTATTTTTTACACTCCTGTCTTCTATGTTGATCGGTACACCAAAGGTTTTTGTTAAGATGCCCAGACTGTTCATCGTATCGAAGGACTTAAATTGCAAGAGGTTAAGATTACAATTACAAATAATAGATTCTATAATCAAACAGAAGCACCTGAACATCATTGAGAGAAGAAAGGGTGGTAGCCATGGATTTCGCAAACCCAAAATTTCGAGCCAAACGACTCCATTTAAGATCCCCATATGAAGACATTGTCGTATCTCAAAAGGGGAAGAAACCAAAAACTACCAGGAATGACAGGTAATCGTGAATATCAACCCATCTATAATCATAATAAAGATAGAATCAAGGTGGCAGAAACATGAAATCCAAGGCCAAACCTTTGGGCTTCTTGGACGACAAGAGGTAGAAAGCACCGAGAACAATGGCTAAAAGAGCCACGGCGACGCCCACAAGCATCTGATTTTCCGGTGTCTGTAGGAAGTCCATGGCTTAAGCTCTAGATTGCAGACGGCAGAATTGCGGGAGATTCACGGCCCTATGTTGCCCGGGCCTCCACCAAAGCGCCCCACTCGAAACTCCCCAGCTACTCTGAAGTCTAAGCAGAAACTATGACAGGGACGGAAGTAATAAATTAAACTTAAGGACATGCTTGGGTGCCCCAAAACCATGGTTTGGGTGACCCACCCAAACAGCATCATAGGGAAGGAAAAGTGCTCGCAGCGGCCCCAATCATGTAAGATGTTGCTCCAAAACCCTTGAAAATCCAAATAAAATAGAAGTTAACATTATAAATGAACAAGTGAAAAGAATTTAAGGTTTAGCATTAATAAAAAATAATTTTAATTACTTGATGGGTTTATATAGTAATTATTTTTTTACCAGGGTATATAGTAATTATTTTACATCTTACAGTTTAAGATATAATTATAATCATAATCATAAAATGACGCCTATTTTGTAACTTGCGAAAATTTTCGGTGTCTGCTCAGGGTTGGGTTTTTTGATGCAATGCAAGATGGGGTTTATATATGTAAGTTTTTCCGAAAAAGTGGAAGTAGGACCGGGGCCGAAGGGATGGCATTGGTGGTAGGTGGACGAGTTCTGACTTCTGAGAGACCTGTCCTATTTGTTTTTTTAAACAAATATTTGGGGCTAGGGAGCAGCTCGCCAGTTCATCATTAGGTAACATATCAAATCATATAACCAAGAAAAAAAAAACTCTATTTTAAATTATCAATTATTAATTCTCTCTTTTTTTTCCCTTCGTCCCCTTATTTATTTGACCTTTCATGTCACCGACTTCTACTGTGAACGTGCCGTTCGGTTTAATGATAAAAGAATTGGGAGTGAATGAATTTACGATGGTAAGTCGTAAGATAGGAAGGAGGAGTGTTGTGGAATCTCAGGCACAGGTACGATTCAGTGCCCTTAGAAAGGTGGAGACAACAGTTCTCAGCCAGCATGCTCCACGTGTTGCTCTAAGATGTGTTTGGATAAGTAGTGAGAGAAGTTTTTTTTTTTCAATCTGACTTTTACATAAGTCAGATTTGATAAAAGTCAAATAGGGGGTGATGTGATTTATGTTTGTATTAACTTTTGTAGAAAAATCAGTTTAAGAAGCTGAAACTTGTTTGGATAAATAATAAAAAAGTAAGTTTAGATACAAAATAATTGAAAATGACATAAATTTTATTAAGTAATATTATAATAGTAAGTTCTAAGTAATAAAATAAAAACAAAAAGATATATTTTTTTACAAAAAAAAATATAAACATTAAGTAAATAAATGAAAAAATAGTATGGTGTTTTTTTTTTCCAATTTTACGCTAGTATTTACTCTTGCAATAATTTATGTTCAGTATTTACTAAAAAAAATATTATCCTTAATTTATTGTTCCACTTTTACAGCATGTGAATGTCTTAAAAAAAAAAAAAATTGTTCATGTCTAATATCATCATCTCTTCTCTTTCTTCTTTTCTTCTTTCCTGCACACCCCACCGTCCCTCACCCCAACTCTCCTCACTCCAAAAGCAAAAAAAAATTAGCTTCTACCCAACAGCTCATTAGACCCCATGAGCCCATCACAAAAAGAAGTCAATCCAAATTTCAAAATCCCAAAAGTAGCTTTTACCGGTAGAGACGCACGTTTAGGCCACGAAACGCGATGCCAAACACACCCTAATCATTCTGCCTACCGTTTTAGTTGAGACCCACCAACTGTAACTTGCCTTCACCCTCCCTATTTTGTGTTTGATTTGATGCCATTACATTATTTCCATGGAAATCAAGTTATAATTTACTATTCCATTGGCTCTTATACAGTGTTCTGGTTTGGGATCTGAACCGGCCTTGTTTAACAATGGAGACGTGCTTTCTGATAATACAATCTTCATTATGGAATTAAAAGATATTGGAGGAATTATTTTTGAAGCCCAATATCTTCTGCTTCACGGGATTTATTCTTGTTTATTTAACAACAAAAGATTTAGATTTGAAAAGATTACAGTGTGTCAACTTCCAAATTTCCATGAACCTACGATCTCCCTCAACCTTCTATCTAAACAGATCCTCCACGAACCCTATATTTTGGCTGCATCCTTTTCTTGCACATTACTCCATTTGCAAGCGGCCCATACATCCTCTAGGTAGTGAGCACATTCCTTCTCTCTGCCCAAAATTACATTGCCATGGTCCGCATTTCTTATGATGCTAACCTCAGCTTTTGGAGCTTTCAGCTTCAAGTTATAGCAGCACTCCAACGGGACGACCGCATCTTTATCGCCTTGAATCACATTTATTCTGACTCCAGCTTTACTCAAGTCCTCCAGATACCTATCCATAAATTTCGCGCCCCCACAAATCACATTGTGCATGGAACTCCAAGCTGAATGATGGGTGTGCCTGGTCAGGTCTATGGCCAAGAAATGAAGATCCCTGCAAAAGTTAAGAGGCCAGCTTATCAGTACCATGCATGCCAATGACGCGTGCACTGCAATCTTTTGCTCTTCTGTCAAGAAAAATGTAGTCGTTAGTTTTACCTTTGGAAAGTAAAGAACTTTATAATTTTCTCCCATATCCTGTGATTTCTGCAAAACATGAGGCAAACAAATCGACCTAAGTGCTCATACCACGACATGAAGGCAGAACCGAATGCCAATGGCGGCCACAGTTTCTTGCCAGCAAGTTTTGTGAGTGCCTTTAAACTAGCATCATTTCCACCAGAAGGGAAGTACGGCTGCCAGCAAATCAATAAAGAGAAAATTGCTAAATGATAGAGTTGCGGACGGATGATCAATTTGGGTCTCTGCTTTGAAATTAGAATTCTGAGAGAGGCTTATCAGGTAGGGTTTTAGGCACTTACAGGGGCAACAAGGGTGATGGACTTGACACACTTGGAGTACTTTGCAGCCAAAGCCAGCGCAATCAAGCAACCCATAGAGTGTGCAACCAGATGAAAAGAGCTTAAATTCAGTGGTTGAACCACGGATTTCTCTATCATTCCCACATGATCTTTCAGAGTATAGGAACAATTCCTTGGCTTTGGGCTCCTACCAAATCCCAGCAAATCCACCGCAACCAAACGGTAATTCTGCTTTACTTGTTCAGAAAAATATGGGACAACTGTCTGTGTCCAGAATGAAGAAGAAGAGAGAAACCCATGCAAAAAAACCACGTTCTCAGAAGGCATTCCCTTGCAGTTCTCATCAGTGGCTGTCAAACATGATTTTGAACTGCATGAGCAACTCAATGAATACAACATTAAAAAGAAAAAAAGAAAAGAAAAGAAACAGAAACAAATTTACCAACGGAGGACTCGTTCACCACAAAATGAAGCTTGTGATCACCATCACTCACCCACGAAAGGCACGACTCGCACCCACAATCGGACCAACGGTTCATCGACCACCTACCTTCGCTACATTTTGTCTCGGAATCTTTTAATTTCCTTTCAATTCGAAGGAAACCCATTTCCCTGAACAAGTTTTGCCTCCTGTACAATGTATCTGATAGCTCGCCGTCCTGATCATCTTTCGTGTTCTCCTCGCGCCGACCCCTGTTTCCACAACAAGACGTGAAGGCCTCCCCTTCAATATATTCATCAAGGTATTTATATATTAGGCAAAAAAGGGTGTCCAGGAAATCAAGAAAAAGGAAAACGATGGAAGTGATGACAGAGACTAGCTTTTCAGCAGGTTTGGTAAGCCATTTTGCCGAGAAATCTGCAAGAGACATGGATGGATGAAGAGGAAGACGGGGTCAGAAAGTGGAAAAGAATAGAATGGCGATTGTAGAAAGGTGAGAATGGGAGAATATGAGATGGCGGTATAGATTCGACCACGTCGAGGCATCTCATTCACTCCACGCTCGTAGTAGCGGATCAAGTGTGGCCCCTCAATCCTTCCAGGTCCCTGCTCCCCGGGCTCGGCCACCCCAGCTGGAATGAGCTCCATTCGGTGTCGTTTCCTGGTCACATCTTGTCGTTTTTGCCAGCTGGCCCTTGTCGTTCGTTTTTATTTGTCCTCTTTCTTCGTGTCATGGCTCGGCAACGGCAAGGGCTTCCTATCATAATTTGCACCAAAAAATTAGGGCTCATACTCACTCGAACCCACCCCATGTTTATTTCTGATTGACATCAAAATTCGATCGAATCGAACCTATTCGTGTAAACTCAAACAAATATTCCCCCTTGTCATCGCTGAGAGGTTTGGGTAAAACTTAGAACTTTTGTTGCTTTGAAATTAAAAACAATTAGAAGTAAAACAGTTCCGTGTAAGTTGGACTTGAATCTGAGGGTTTTTCAGCAACATTTTCGTCTGATACTTTCTTCATAGGCCCAATTTCCAACAAGAAAAGGCCATGGCATTCTTTTATTTCCTTTGGGCCAAATTGGCGTACACGAGTAAATGGAGACTTCCCGCTGTGTTGTGAATGTATTGCTGGACCTACTTATTGTCTGCATTGGGTTGGACCAAGTTGGAGCCTCTGCCAAGACGGATCCCTCCCAATCTTCTCTTTTTGATGCATTTAAGTTAATTGACTAATTTAAATAGATTAAAAAAATTAGGTAAATCAATTATTTATAATAAATAGGTATTGTTTTTTTTAAAATATCCTTACTAAATGTATTAGCCAAAACTACAAGTTTATGAAATATTTAACATGTGTAACTACTACAAAAACTACTTTGAGAAAAAATAGATAAATATGAGAAACGGTAGGGATTGGCATTTTATATTTATGACCAAATTAAAAGTCAAACTAGCTTTTATATTAAAGAAGAGAGGTAGTATATATCTAAAATGTTTGAAGGCTCTAATGGATGAGGATTATGTAGGGGGGTATTAGTTTTATTTTCTGGACTTTCTAGCCCTCTTCACTGCCCAAAAAAAGGGTTGGAGCCTCCGCTACTACTTCTATTTGTCTTCAACAAACCCAAAAAAAGAAAAAAAGGAAGGGAAAAAAACAGAGATAAGAGATAAGAGAGATCAGGAGGAGTATGGAGGCTGCTTCACTGAGGGAGATTCTTATCAATGCATGGCAATAAAGAATTGTGTGGAGAAACTCGTGCAAGTGTACGAATTGATAACACCTTCGATTGTAGTAATACAAGATGAAAGGAACCATAGCGTGTGGTGCAGCAAGTGAACAGTCTTGAGCTAGACTATATGATGATATTCACACACACACAAAAGCAAAACCTGACTTGGTATATAGTTGGCAGCTTGGTGTTGATGAAGAGTGGCGTAAGATGTAGATGAGTGAGCAGTAGTAGTGCTTGTGGTTGTCAAGATCACATTCAGGCACACGAAATCACTGAGAGAAAGGATTATGTTATGTCATATCTGCTACATACAGGTTCACCGCCCATAGTCCCACACCTTTCACTGTTATCTTCACTTGATGCATCTCCCTCCAATCACATACTTCCTCAAGATGGAATCTCTTTCCCGTTCCTTCCCTTTCCATCCCACCCATTCCATATCAGTGTAAATGAAAGAATTAAAAAAATATTGATGTTCATTCCGTTTTAAATCAAGACAAAAGTCACTCAATTATGGAGGTAATCCAGTGTCTGATCATGATTGATTCGTTGTGTGATAGCGCATTCTGGCATGTTATGTCAGGTACTGCAAAGTCAAAATTCTATCTAATCAAGTCCCTCAGATCATGATGAGCAGGATTCATGTAACCAGAGCTTATCCCTACTTCATAATCATTACCCCTTGGGTCCTCAAGTCATAAAACAGTTAACAGCGCAGAAGGGTCTCTCTTTTCTTCCTTTATAGACAAACAGGCCCTTGCAGTGGTGTTTGATAACTGACTACATGTGTTAAATTTTGCGGCAGCATTAGTTCCAAGATTGGTCCCTCTTTTGACACCTAGCGACACCTGTTTCTCTTCGTCGTGGCGAAGGAAGGATGGACTTGCTCTTTGCCACATGCACATATTAAAAATAATACATATATCTTTTTGGAAGAAAGAAATGATGACATGTAGAAGTTGAGGTTGACTTGGAGCATTAGCACTCATACTTCCTGTGAAGCTCAAGTAAATTATATTTTGTACGTCTGATATTTTTCCTATATAAGCACCGTCTCCTCACGCTTTGCCTTATCATCATTCGCCACCTTTTGCAGTCTCGAGGTCTGTTCTCTTGCAGTTCAACATGGTGCACAAATCTCCCCCGCAACTGCTCATCATCCTTCTGGGTTTTTCACTTGTTATCTCGTCTGTTGCTGTCCCAGCAAGCAGTAAGACTTGAACCATTTTGCTTGAGTTAATTCCTTAGTTACTAAACTCTGACACGCATCTTCAATTTCATGGTACACAGGAAGCCTCTTGTCAAACGGGGAAGAATTTTCAAGACTCTCAACCCAGGCAACACCGCTTCAGGTTCCATAGCTAATTAACTTGGACCCATGATTCTCACTCATTCTCAGTTCTTCAATATGTCAAGGTCTCAAAATTGAGAATATGATGATGTCTTGGAAAACAAAATTGCAGGGTTTGGTGGATTTGAGGACTGGGGAAGAGACGACTGAGACGGGAGAAGATCAGGTGATAGTGGGAAGGATGGATTTGGAGAGTACAGACTATCCAGGGACAGGAGCTAACAACCGTCACGATCCAAGAACACCGGGAAGACCTTGAATGATCCACAATTGTTCTTAGCATCTCTGTATGGGTTATCTATAAGACCTTAAGAAGCTTGTTTAAGATTTGTTTATTCTTGATGCAGACTTTCCGTTAGTGGGTGAATGTAATTGTGTTTTAGCAGAGTTAGTCAGGTACTACGAAGATCTTGAGGTGGCTTTCTGTGATCTCAATCTCCCAAAATGTAATGAAGTTTTTGGAATAAGGAGACTTGCTTATAGGAAGCAACGTCACATGCCCGAAAAATCAAGTCTGCCAGTTTCGACTGTTGAATTTGGTGGGGGATGGTGAAATTCAATGCATTGCTTAGTTATCCTGTCCGTCTGTGACTTTTCCAATAAAATATAAAATAGTAATTGTGTTGCCATCGCCTCTTATTTTAGTTGAATTCAACAATTCAATGAATTTCCTGGCCAAAAAATGATAGTAACTCAATTAATTTCGTTTGTCAGTTTAGGGTTCTTAGTTCTTTTTTGGGAGCGGATGGCTCTACTAAATAGGATCGGCGAAATATGTACAGAGATGCCATGGGCCGGAAGGTTTGGGCCATCATAACTGAGGAGGCTTTAAATAGGGTTCGGGCTGAATTAATAGCGGGCAGTCTTCGCATAAGAAAGGCCCAACTTAAATTTTGTTTAACCACGAAATACTTTATCCATAATCCAAAACCCACCAATATAAGCCCACTCAACTGCATGATTTTAATATCAGCATGGATTGGGATTTCCAGCGTGGTGCCGGTTTATCACACCATACGATTATCATCACACTTTGAAGATTTTTTTATTGGTGAATTTATTTATTTTAAAAAAAACGTAAGCAGTTACACTTGTACATTTGAATGTTTTGTTCCAAATTTCCAAGCACTATGATTCATGAACTAAATGGTTTATTTTGCATAAGTTGGCCTATATATAATTCCTGAAGTCTCAACAAGTTTGAGACTTGAAACGCTATGTGACCGATGTCTACAGGATTTGACCCTTCAAAACAATGTTTCAAAGATTTCTTCCCCCCTTTAAAAAAAGCAGGAGAAAATAGCAAATAAATGCTCCCAATATATAAAATTATGATTTAGAACTCTCAATTTGAAAAATAGCAAATAAAGATTCGGTCCTATATTGTAAATATGAAATATTGATAAAATATCTAAAATGTTCCTCAGTCAAATTGTGATTTGATCTACTAAAATTATTATTAGTTAAAGTAAACTTGTCATTTCTCATAGTTAACTTATTATTTGGTATACCCTGAGCTAAATTGTTATTTGATTTATTGAAATTATGATTCGTTAAAGGGAACTTGTCATTTTTTATAGTCAACTTATCACTTGGTCGAGAAATATTTCGTACATTTCATCAAGATTTTATATTTTATAATATGAGATTGAGTCTTTATTTACTGTTTTCAAATTAAAAATCTCAAATTATAATTTCACATATTATGGTTTTTATTTACTATTTTTCTAAAAAAAATCCTTATTTTACTTTATCTGAGTTATTATTTGATGAGACCCGGACAGTAACGGGACTCATGTTCCAAGAAATAGAGCGATCAGCAATCAAAAAGCAAAAAGCAAAAGCCATATTTACATGAATTCTAAGATTCCACGCATAACATATGCAACGCCATTGGCCTAACGGCAATAAAAAATATAGAACCAGTTTTAAATATCATAAACTCATCGTATTTGAACTGTTTATATCTAATTTGAATAGTTTAAATTTAAAATTAAATATAAGATAAACGTACGGTGCTCATTCAAATCAGATGATATGGACCGAAACTGATTCCCAAAAGTATCCACCCCCTCTTCGCCCCATTCCTCAGCAATGACGTCACCCATTTCCCTCCAGAATAACTCTTTTCTCTTTACCCAGCATTATTCAACATCATCCTCCTCCTCCTCACGCCTTCAAAGTCCCCTTAAACATCATCACGTATCAGATATTGAAGACCGAATTAAAACATGTTTAATGATCTATGCTTAACAACGATAAAATAATTCCTCAAATTTGTTTGCCTTATGAATAGCATATGTTTTTGGTACTGACTTTGTCGGAACAGATGAAAAACAACGTTATATCTCAGAATATAATATCAGCAACATACATACATATATATATCTATATATATCTGATTCACGGCAAATTTACCAAATTTTTGTATCCGCGAGTCCTATCTCAGCGGTGCGAAAGATTTGTGAATGTCGTTGTATGAATAAATTAATAAATTTCAATCACAGCAGATGCTAATTAAAGTGTTTGTTAATCATGCCTGCCATTGTAGTGCCAGAATCATTTTCTACAGTCTGTATCTTTTCGTTGATTTTATACAGAGATTTGGAACTTGACCAAGTTCGGAATCTTTCCTCCCCACTAAGCCCCAAATGCAAAATTGGAATCTCGCGGTCACTATCTGCTGTGATGTTGGTCGAGGTTTTTTCAGTAAAAGGAGAGGATTGATCGGCGTTAAAATTGGGAAACGACTGTGATTAAAGTTAAATTATTTACTCAAAACCTGAGGTCCGAATACAATGTTCTTGGGAATTATAGTCCATAAACTTACCTTCCCTTTTTGTTTCTGGTGCAGGGTCAATCTTTTTATCATGTGGACCTATCGGAAAATGGAAGCCTGATTGATTAAATTAAAGTCAAAAGTGACAGCGGGGTGATTAATTTGCATCAGTAAAAAGGAACGAATTAATTGAACGAAAAGTGGGGCTGACATGCACAAACAAACAAAAGCAAAAACTCGAATTATTAGACTTTAAAGGAGCTAGTTTGAAAATTATAGTGTGATTGACACTTGCGTTGGACTGCTGTACATGATTTGCTATGAAATTTTCTCTGAAAACGAAAGAAATTAAAGAGAAATAGGTAGAGTCAATGTCATTTGATATTGGCAGAGCCTGACGGAGAAGACAGGAAGACCGTTTAGCCGGAAACTGGTCCATCCTTGTTCAAAAAGCCAAATGAAACACGATGTCCTCAGCGTTTTAATTAGGAGTTAAATCAGGTTAGGAAAGTGCACACTTTCACGACATGAATATGAATCTATCACTGAAAGATCTATATAAAATGACAGCATTGAAACATGACACTAATCTTAGGGATTATACATATGAAGGGTAGGGATCTTTAACTGATCTGTCTTATTTTCGTGCTGCCCCTGAACCTATAGGTGTAGGTTTGAACAACCACGCCATGTTTTGTCTTCTCCGACGCAGGAAATGCATGGCTTGCCAAACTTACACCCTGCACCATTCGAGTCTAGATAGCTTTCCATTCTGATCATGATTGCTCTTACCATTCTTATAAGTTATGGTCTTTGATTCATTATAGGTGTTTCGAGTGGGAGAGAGAGGAATTGATGAGATCACATAACAGAAGAAGGCAATATTGCTACACAGTAGGTTCGGTGTAAGAGATAATGACAATGATTGACACCAATTAAGCAATAATGCCACGTGCAGAAAATAGGGTATAGGTGCTAAAGTTAGGAGGTATTATATATGGCTTTAGTGTCTGTAACGTGAATTATTTTGTTCTTGTTTGGGAAAACTGTGTCATCCCAGAGTATGAGGCAGGGTGGATATATAGTAGGTTAATTACACAAATATATATGCACTGACGAGCATGAAAGATAAAACCAAATCGATGTATGGTCAAATAAAGGAGGAAATGGCGGTGGCACTAACAATTACCAAAGCGTCCTTTATTGTCAAAAAAGGCTGCGCTTCATGTTACATTTTGTTACTACACAGGGACAAACTTCAACTAATCTCAAAAGTTGTCACTTACACCCACAAATGCCATTGTCTTGGAAGTTGCGAACTCTGATAACTCACGCTATTCAAATAAATATAGCTAGCTGGCTATCTGGAACTGCAATTCCGATCCTATATGTTGATCTTTGATCCAGGATGGTGGGGACTGTGCTTTTGCTTTTGTTTTGAATGGATTAGTTGATTTGCCGAGAAAGACACCTAACATAGTGTCTGCGTCTGACAATATCTTGGGCTTTTGTTGCTTTCCGAAACTCCATCAAAGCGGGCATTGCATTATCATATGAAAAGCATCGTCCATAGATTGACAGAATCCTCTTTGGTCCTTCTACTTTAATAGACACTACTTGTTTGTGATGCGATGTTAAAAAAAGACGTGAAATTAACACCAGAAAAGGATCGGTAATAACATCGAATCGCAAAAACGTTTATAATTAAATAATCTGATTTGCTTGTTTGTTTCTGCCCTGCATATATACTGTCACTTTGCTTCTTGATATTTTCCATGTTCATGTTCCCAAACTAATTAACGGTGACAAGATATGTACATATATGTATCGTACTTTGTATCATTTATGTTAGATTCTGTTTGTATATATTTACTATAACCTCCGCTCTCATAATTCTTTTGTTATGAATACGTTCTCGCGAATGATGTTTTTCTCTGCTTCCTATTCGAAACAGTGATGGACAGGAATATGTATGTAGTGATATCTATTTGATTTATTTTATCTTCTCTTGCTTTTTTTTGACGAAAAAATCGCGTGCGTCCGTGTGTGCGTGTGCGTGTGCGTGTGTGTGTGAAAATTGATAAATTTTATAGTAAGTTTCCATATAATAATATTGTACCTGGGCAAAAGCAGTGAAAAGCAAGGAAAAGGAATTCTTGATTTAATATGTTTAAAGAGACACGACGAGAAGAGATGCATGAATGTGGCAAAATCAAGTTCGGTAGAAATGAAAGTGGAGAAAAGCATCTTGCTAGCTGACTTCCCATGCTCGAGCTTAATTTATTCTAATGTCGTCACTTTTTTCTTCTCTTTATCATCTCGTTTCCAATAAAAGCTATATTACATAATGATGCAGAACCCACATTATCAGCAAAAGTAAGTGACCCAGTTGAAAATGTTCATATACCATTCACGGGCTCCACTACTGTATCATTACATTTCTAGCTTAGCTCCATTGATCGGCTTCTCTTTTGAATTTTTTAATTGGCTTACGTGATTCACTTCAAATTCAATGATCTAAATTCTTGTCGTTAATTCAAGCGAGAACCACATTTTTTTTCGCAGATTGCCATGTAACTACCATGATGGTGACTGCAGGGTTTGGTGTACCCAAAGCCTGATTAATTAATTAATTAATTAATTAAATGGATTAATCATGGATACGGAGTCATGAAATCTAGAACTTATAAAATAACCTTTTTTAATTCTGGAATGTGCAGCCGACATTATTGAGATTGGGAAACTAGCTAGCCAGGGAAACGCTTACTAGTTACTGCATTCGGTCTTTAATATAAGATTTTATTTAATTTTTATTTTGATCATAAGTATAAAACCTTAATACACCCTCTCTC